GCCCCAGGACTACCCCCAGCCCCAGGACCACCACCTAGAGCCCAAGAGCACCACCCCCAGTCCCATGACCACCACCCCTCAGCCCAGGACCACCAGCCACAGCCCCAGGACCACCCCCAGCCCATGACAACCACCCCAGACCATGACCCCCAGCCTCCCAGGCACCACCTTGAGCCCAGGACCATCATCTCCAGCCCACAACCACCACCTCCAGCCCAGGATGACCAGCCCAGCCCAGCACCACCACCCCTGTCTGGGACCAGCACTCCAGTCTGGGACCAGCACTCCAGCCTGGGACCACCACCCCCAGTCTGGGACCACCACCCCCAGCCCCAGGACCACCACCCCAGTCTGGGATCGCCATCCCCAGCCCCAGGACCACCAGCCCCAGCCCCAGGACCACCATCCCCAGAACATGACCATCACCCTGAGCCCCAGAACCACCACCCCAGTCCAGAAACACCACCCTCAGTCCTATGACCACCCCAGCCCCAGGACCACCACCCCTAGCCCCACAGCCACAATCCCCAGCCCCAGGACCACCACTCTCAGTTCACAACCACCACCCCTCGCCCAGGACCACCACCCTCAGTCTCATGACCATCCCAGCCCCAGGACCACCACCCCCAGCCCAGGACCACCATTCTCAGTCCCATGACCACCCCCAGCCCCAGGACCACCATTCCAGTCCCATGACCACCACCCTCAGTCTCAGGACCACTCTCAGTCCCATGACCACCCGCAGCCCAGGACCACCAGCCCCAGGACCACCACCCTCAGCCCCAGGACCACCACCCCGCTCGCCCCGCCGCACCTGAGGCCGCACATGGTGCGCAGGGCGAGCCCCCGCACTGCCGGGCTCGGGTGGGCGCAGTCCTTGCGCAGGGAGTTGACGGCGAGCAGCGCCAGCTGCGGCTGCCGCGGGGCCTGTGCCCGCACGTACAGCGACACGAGCTTCTTCTGCACCACGTCCGGCACCGCGCCCGCCTTCACCATCTCCGGGAACACCCCCGACACGTCGGCGCCCTGCGCCATCAGCCTGCGGGGACACGCGGGTCGGGCCGGGCCGGGCCGGGTGCGGGTGCCCCGGGTGCGGGTCCCCCCCCAGCCCCCGCCGTACCGGATGACCCGCAGGACGGCGGCGCGGTACCGCACCGGGTCCGCCTGCACGTGCGGGTTGGACAGGGCCCGGCGGAGCTCCCGCAGCGCCTCCTCGCCGCCCAGGTACGGCATGGCCCCGGCACGGCCCGGCCCCGGGCGACGGCCAGCCCCGGTATGGTCCCGCGCCTAGGTCCCGGGTCCGATCCCAGTCCCAGTCCCAGTTGCAGGTCCCGATCCTAGTCCTGGTCGCAGACCCACTCCCAAGTCCCGGTCCCGATCGCAGTCTCAGTCCCAAGTCCTAGTCCCGGTCCCAATTCCAGTCCTAGTCCCAGGCCCAGGTCCCGGTCCCAGTCCTAGTCTCACGCCCAGGTCCCGGAACCTATCCCGGTCCCGATCCCAGTGCCAGGTCCGGATCCTGGTCCAGGTGCCGATCCCGATGCCAGTCCTAGTCTCAGTCCCAGGTCCCGGTCCCGGTCTCAATCCCAGTCCCAGGTCCCGGTCCCGATCCCAATCCCAATTCCGGTCCCGGTTCTGGTCCCCGGCCCCGCCCACGTGACCCCTGCCCACGTGACCCCGCCCCTGACGCTGTGCCCGGCCCCCCCGCGCCTCGCGCGCATGCGCGGCGCTTCCCGCCAAATTCGCTGTGAGGGGGCGCGGGGTCCCGCCCGCCATGAGCGGGACGGTGCTGGCCGGGACCCCCATCGCCGTGGACTTCTGGAGCCTGCGCAGGGCGGCCGGCGCCCGCCTCTTCTTCCTGTCCCACATGCACGCGGACCACACGGTGGGGCTGTCCAGCACCTGGAGACGCCCGCTGTACTGCTCCCCGATCACCGCCCGCCTCCTGCACAGCCGCCTACGGGTAGGTATGGTATGGCCTGGCCTGGCCCTCATCACCTGGGCACCCCATCGCCCCACCTGCCCGGCCCTGCCTTCAATACCTGGGCGTCCCCACCTCTCCACCTGTCTGGCCCCGCCCTCCTCACCTGGGCACCTCCATCGCCCACCTGTCCCCCCCAGCCCTCATCACCCACGTACCCCTGTCTCTCCACTTGTCCTGCCTTGCCCAACCCTCATCCCCTGCCCTGCCCTCTCCACCTGGTCCCTGTAGGTGCCAACATGCTGGATCCGGCCGCTGGAGGTGGGGCAGAGCCACGTGCTGGATGAGGTGACGGTGACGCTGCTCGACTCCAACCACTGCCCGGGCTCCGTCATGTTCCTCTTCGAGGGCACCTTCGGCACCATCCTCTACACAGGTACAGGGCAGGGTCCCACCATCACAGAGTCCCAGGATGGAAGGGACCACAGTGGGTCATCTGGTTGTCCCACAGCACGTGGCACAGAACTGTGACCAGACAGTTCTGAGATATCTCCACTGAGGGAGACTCCACACCCTCTCTGGGCAAAAATGCTGACAGCCTTGTCCCTTGCAGGAGATTTCCGCTACACGAGCTCCATGCAGGGGGAGCCGCTGCTGAGGGGCCGCCGCATCGACCGGCTGTACCTGGACAACACGCACTGTCACCCACGGCGGGCGCTGCCCTCGCGCCAGCTGGCCACGCGCCAGGCCGCCCGCCTCATCCGCGCCCACCCGCACCACCACGTCGTCATCGGTGAGTGCCAGCCCCTCATCCCGCCAGCTTTAAAGATTTAAGTAACTCACACTAACTGGAGCCACCTGCTTACCACCTCTGGAGGGGGTGGTTTGGTGGTCACAGGCTGGCAGCCCCCCTGGCAGGGCTCCTGTTCCTCTCCCCCCCCGTCCCACACCCGGCTCCCCTGGCAGGTGTGTACACCCTGGGCAAGGAGGCGCTGCTGGTGGACCTGGCTGTGGAGTTCAGCACCTGGGTGGTGGTGAGTCCCTGGCGCCTGGAGCAGATGCGGCTGCTGGAGCTGCCGGACGTGTTCACCGCCGAGGAGGGGGCCGGCTGGATCCGCGCCGTGGATGTCGCCGAGATCCGCTGGGATACCCTGGTCACCTGGAACATGCTGCACCCCACCATTGCCATCCTCCCCACGGGCAGGCCTGTGAAAGTCACCCACCCCAAGATCCACCCCATCCCGTACTCGGATCACTCGTCCTTTTCAGAGCTGTGCGAGTTTGTGAAGTGGCTGAAACCTTGCTCGATCATTCCCATTGTGAAGAGCAACATGTGCCAGGTTTACTTCCAGGAATACCTGAGCTCTGCCCCCCAGGTACTTCCTGACTTCCAAGTCCCAAAGCCTTTGCCAGAGTCTGTGCAGCAGCAAAGCCAAAGGAGGGGGCAGGACCCCACGTGTCTCTGGAAAAGAGCTGCACGGCATTCTGCACCTCAAGGGGTTGTTTTTGAGTCCCCAGAGAAATACACTGAGAAACCTGAAGCATTTACAGGTGCTGAGATTCCTCAGCAGCACCACTGTGAGCCAGCTTTCTGCTCAAAAGAAGGTTGCTCTTGTCACAGGGATGAGGAAAAAGGGAAGGAAAAGCTGAGTTGGGAAGAGCTGGGAGCAGCAGGAGCAGCCACTGCTGTTAGCCAGGCACCTGTTTCCAAGGAGCACTTTACAGCAGGATTTGCAGAGCAGTATTTACTCACTCCCTTAAATGTCCTAAAGCAGAATTCCTCGTGGACGTTTGACAAACTGGTACAAGACTTTTTTAGGAGGGGAGAAGTGCCCTGAAAAATTGTGTGACACTTGCTGGTGCCAGTAGCAGTGATTCATCCTGCTCTCTGTGCTCAGGTTTCCTATCAGGAGAGAGGAGCTCAGCTATGGGGCTCTACTTTCTTTAACTCTTAACAGAGGACAAGAGGAAACTAGAACAAGTTTTTAAACATGACGTTTTTTAAAATTTATTTATTTTTTTTAATCTTTCTGCATCTGCTGAGTCTCCAGTACAGGGGGCAGTGCAGTCCCACTGCCTGTGTGCCTCGTGTGCACCTTTTGCAGTGACTCACCTGTCCCCTGTGACAGAAGACACTGCCAGGTCGATTCAAGCAGCACTGCAGAGGGTGTGAGCTGACTCCAGCTAATGTTATTAGTGTTTGGAATGTGATGAAAGAATCAAGGAGGGGGAATCTGAGAGCCCCCCACTCTTCTTTCTGCATGTCTGTGATGCTTCACTGACTGTGAATGGTTCATTCCAAGGTGCATTTCAAATGTTTTGTATTAAGATACACTTTTTAAAATGCTGCTTAAATCTAGAAAATTAAGTGCCTCTAAGTTTTAATAATCTCTTTTCTATCTACTAATCTACTAATACTTCCAGCTTTTGCATCCATCCAGCCAACTGCAGCTGGCTGTAGTTCTGCTCTCCTGAAAGCACCATCCCAATGTTAATTGTCAGTGCTTTTTGAGGCTTCTGGCTGAGAAAAACAGGAATTGTCTGGGCTCCTGAGTTGTAGAGTTGGTCACTATATCCTCTGCAGTTTCTGGACTCTGCACATCTGAATTCTGCTTGACTGCAAAGCACTTCTGATAACTGCCAGCATTCTGCCTTCCCATCCACTGCCTGCTCTTGTCACACGGTGGCAAATGGAATGGAAGATAGTGAAACATCTGCTCAGTGGTGTGAAGTGATCAGTCTTAGCAGCATTGTTTGGAAAGAAGACTAAACAGCAAAATTGGCTCTTAGAGGTCAGGCACTTTCCCACTCCAGATCAACTGCAGAGCCAGGCCTGGCACTTGGGAAGTGTCAGTGGTGTAATAAGTCATTAGGTACCCACTGCAGAGCCTGGGACACTGGAGTTGTCTGTGACAAACTGCACTGCCAGCATTGCAAATTGGCTCCTTGTATGGTCAGGGCAGCAGCACTGGAGTGGAAATGGTCACTGGGCACTTTCCTGGAGCAACACACCAGCTGGTTCCTCAGCTCTCTCCAGCCTCCTTTTGTTACTTTCAAGGCAAAACGTTTCACGTGATCCTGATGAGGATCAGAGCCTTCTGAACGTGGTGTCCTGGGAGGTCTGTCCAAGACCAGGCAGCCAGATGGATTGAATTCCCTGAACTGAGCCAGAAAAGGAAGCCTTTGCCCTTGGAGCGAAGCCAGGGCTTGTGCAAAGCAAAGGTGGCTGTAGATGCAGCAGTCACACCTGTCACAAACAGGGCTGTCAGGAGCAGTGAGGGTGCTGACAGCCAGAGTGGGTATGTTTGGAAAGTTGTTTGGCAAACACGAATCCTGGCTCCCAACCCTGCGCTTTCCCAGGCAGGGCAGCCTTTATCCCTGTTACATAAGGAGTGCCTGTCCCTGGGCCTGTTGTGGCTCTGCCTTCCCTTCCCAAGGGAAGTGACACAGCAGTGTCCTACTCCTTCACACGGGGCAGCAAGGGCAGCTCGAGCTTCCTGCTGGGGCCTGTGTGTCCTGCTTTTCTTGGAGGTTTCTGTATGGATTATTTGCTAATCCAAACTCAGCTGCAGAGCTCTTGAGTGTGAGTGGAGACACCTGCACCTTTTGTAACGTGGAAATGACAGTGCTGTGCTTGTAGTGTGCTGTCTGCTGCTGCCTGGGAGATGCAGGCTGTTACTTAAATGTTGTTGAAATTTAAGTGACTCATTTGACAGGCAGGGGAGTGAAGCGCTGCCTGCACTCCCAGATTTCAGGTCCTGCTCCTTGCAGCCTCTCCAGTGCTCAGGAGGAATGCTCACCTTCTGAGTCACTGCTCCACCAGGGCATGTTGCAAATGACCTGGGAGATCTGATGCATTTCACTGCTGATGTTTTGTGGCATCCAGCCTTTCCTCTTTTATTCCTATCAACTATTTATTCAAGTAAACGAAGGGGAGGACCTCCTGGTCAGCCCCCAGGCAAAAAGGAGTTGTAAGTGGTAATTCTTCACAGAGGTAACTCTGATCTTTAATCACTCAAAAATGAATGAAAACTGCAGAGCCTTCAGAAGCTGGGGATCTGCACCCCATTTCTGCACACTTAGTTAAAGCTGCAGAAGAAATGCTGGTGTCTTACTAGAGCTGAAAAGGTAATTTCTGCCACTTGAGAAGGAAATCATCCAAATCATGCGGGGCCAAGGAAACCTAAAATCTCTCTGTGGCTTTAAAAGGAGAGAAGCAGGAGAGACTTGACCAACAGTCAAGTGCTGGAGATCTTTGCCTCAGCACAGCAGGTGCACGAGGCATTTGAGTGCCATGCATTTCTTTCTCTCTTAGGCATTAAAATACTACTGTGCATTATTCTAAAATCCTGAAAACGTGGCCTTGTGGGGAAAACCAGAGTTGCTGAGTGCAAGGTTTCTGAGCATCCTTCAGCTTCCCCTGAAGTCAGATGTGTAGGTGGGTTTAGCTGTGGACCTGCCAGTGCTGGGTTGGGCTGCATTTTCCAACCTAAAGGATTCCACGCAGTCTCCTGACAGTAAATGTCTGGCCTCTTACAGGCCTTGTCCTCCCTCACTGCTGCCTCCAAATTTTCCCTCTTTTCCTGCCCCCAGCCTGGCTCACAGGGCAGTGTTGGGGGATCTGGAGCATCGTGTGCCCCAGGGCCTGAACCTGCTGCTCCCAGCTCAGCTGCAGCACTGTTGCCACAGGTGTGTTTGCTCACCACAGTGACAGTGAGAAGCTGTAGCCAAGTATTTGCTTCACTGGGGGGTGTCTGAGGGAAACTTGCAGTTATCCTGACAGGAAAAGAAAGTGCTCAGAGCAAAGTGCTCCCAAATCTACACACACAGAGCGTGCTTGAGCTGCTTATCTCTGTCCCACAGTTGGGAACCAAGCCCCAGTGGGGTGAAACAGCTCAGCCAAGGCCTTGCAGAGGAGTAAGGAACGAGCTGAGTTCCCTCTGGCAAGTTTTCAGTGCTGTTTTACTGAGCTGTGATCAAATGCTGGCATGTTTTGAGGGCAGGCTCATGGTTCTGGAGCAGGGCTGTCTGCTGAGCTCCCTCCAGAGCTGCCTGAGGAGGGACAATCACTGCACCATGAAGCAGCTCAGTTGGCTCTGACTGGAAAGCATGAAGGGCTGGAGAGGAGAAATTTGCTCTTTAGGCTGCTGTCAGGAGACTGAGGTAAAACTTGCCTGGCTTGTGCACTCTGTGGCAAACAAGTGTAATGTCACCTTGCAGGGAACATCTCAGAGCACTTCTCTGTCTGGTTTCTAACTCTGCTTCCCCTAATACAAAGCTGAAACACTTCCAACAACTTCTCTCTCCCCTGCTGCAGAGCTGCTGTCTCTTCCTGCAGCACAGGGGCTTATTTTCTAGATTAAAAAAAAAAATAAAAGTGCAATGATGAAATCTTTCCTTCACCAGAAAATTAATGAGTTTACATAATTTCTTCTATGGTGTGTTGAGCTCTACTGGAGCTCAAACCTAAAATCTTTGTGTTTTTTTAATTGAGTCCTCTGAAATGTAGTAGAACATGTTGAAAAGGTAGAATCAGCTTGATAATTATATGAGATGCTGCTTCAAGTTGTTGTGCTGCTGTTCATGTAAACAGGAAGCTGTGAGAATTTCTGAAATTTTCATAGAATCCCAGAGTGGTTTGGGTGGGAAGGCACCTTAAAGCTCACCCCATCCCACCCCCTGCCATGGGCAGGGACACCTCCCACCAGCCCAGGTTGCTCCAAGCCCTGTCCAACCTGGCCTTGGACACTTCCAGGGATGGAGCAGCCACAGCTTCTCTGGGCAACCTGTGCCAGGGCCTCCCCACCCTCACAGGGAAGAATTCCTTCCCAATATCCCATCTAAACCTACTCTCAGTCTGAATTTTGGTAAGAGTATTTGTTATTGTTATTTTAAAAGTGTTGTAAGCTTTTGCAAGAAAGCCAATAAATGTCTCTGTAGTGCTGACTTTGGAGAAAGCTGAATTAAAACATCCTGGAGATGGAGTTCCTGAGTGGGTAACAGTGACCTGACTGGACTAAATCCCTCTGGAAGCATTTGACCTCCAAGAAGCTGGACTGGCCTTTCCCACACTCGTGGTTTCTTCTCATTTAAGGGGCATCAAAGGGGTGAGAAACCAGCACAGCACCACGTGGGGCTGCTGGAGAGGCTCCAGGTCAGGAGAGACTGTGTAGCCACTTCACCCGTGCTGGGGCAGGGGAGGCACCGAGCCCTGCTGAGCTGCTCTGAGCTCGCTGGGCTTTGTGGTGCCTGGACACAATCACAGGGTGGGTCAGGTTGGAAGGGACCGTCTGCTCCAGCAGGGCCATCCCAGAGCACATGGCACAGTGTCCAGACGGTTCTGGGATATCTCCAGTGAGGGAGACTCCACACCCTGTCCGGGCAGTCTGCTCCAGGGTCACTGCACAGTGAAGTTGTTGTTCCGTGGAAGCCTGGAGGAGGCTCAGGGGAGACCTCATCGCTCTCCCTGAAAGGAGGTTGGAGCCAGGTGGGGGTCGGGCTCTCCTCCCACAACCAGCAGTAGGACAAGAGGGCACGGTCTTAAGTTGCACCAGGGGAGGTTTGGGTTGGACATTAGGAAGAAATTTTCCAGAGAGAGAGTGATCCGACACTGGAATTAGGCTGCCCAGGGAGGTGGTGGAGTCACCGTCCCTGGGGCTGTGTAGGAAGAGACTGGATGTGGCATCAGTGCCATGGTCTGGTGGGCAAGGTGGTGTTGGGGCAAAGGTCGGACGTGATGATCTGAGAGGTCTTTTCCACCCTCGGTGATTCTGTTCAGGCGGAACTTCCTGGGCATCAGTTTGCGCTCGTTGCCTCTCGTCCCATTGCTGGGCACCCCCCAGCGGAGCCCGGTCCGGCCTCTGACACCCCGAACCCGGCCCGTCCCGGTCCCCCCTTCCCGCTCCGCT